GCCAATGATTCCATATTATCATTGAATCCAAGATTCCCTCCAACAGTATCAGAACTGCCTTCCTTAGCCAATGATTCCATATTATCATTGAATCCAAGATTCCCTCCAACAGTATCAGAACTGCCTTCCTTAGCCAATGATTCCATATTATCATTGAATCCAAGATTCCCTCCAACAGTATCAGAACTGCCTTCCTTAGCCAATGATTCCATTATCATTGAATCCAAGATTCCCTCCAACAGTATCAGAACTGCCTTCCTTAGCCAATGATTCCATATTATCATTGAATCCAAGATTCCCTCCAACAGTATCAGAACTGCCTTCCTTAGCCAATGATTCCATATTATCATTTAATCCAAGATTCCCTCCAACAGTATCAGAACTGCCTTCCTTAGCCAATGATCTCACAATATCATTGTCAGTTAATTCAAGATTCTCCTCAACAGCATGTGCCATCATTATTTCTATTTTCTCACAAGATGGATTTTACAACATCAGAATTGCAACCCAACTGATAATAACCTGGACACACAAGTGTTATTCTTTAAAGAATTTTGATCCAAAAAATGGCAATTAAATTATGAGCTGCACACAAGAATTCAATCCCAGAGACAGTGAAATGCTCTAACTAATCACAACTCAGTGTAATGACCACACAGGCAGAGTAATCACAACACCAGCAAAAGTGACTACTAAAAGGTCACAAGTACACATCCTTGACACTAAAGTCACCTGACAAACATGTTTTTCATGCTTAACTCCCCCTACCCCCTTCAGGCTTACCCAACACTCCCCATTTTTTAAATCAGCATTATAGTTAGGCACAGCATGCAGCTAACTGGGAAGAAGTGGTACCCATCCCACCATTCTTTTTTTAAATTTAAAAACAACAGTTTTCAAGAAAAGTGCTTTGAAAACGCTAACTAAACTTCACTTACTTTCCAACTTTAACAACACAGTTCACATCTAAAAGCAATGTTCACATCCCAAACCTCACAACAGCTCACCCCCCAACCTCATAACACAGTAAACATCCCACAAACACCACCAACTTTTAGGGGACCAACAGAGATACTGCTTGTTAAAACTTCATGTCAAGAAAGTTCGGGTGTTACACTCCCTGTGGTCTGTAGTTACTCCCGGGGTAGGCAGGCTAAAGCCACATTCTGAAAATTTACTGTATTTTACAATGGAATATAGGGAAAGTTACTGTTTAATTATCCATACCAGCTGCTAATGGTTTACAACTCCTGTCTTCTGGATAGTAAAAAAAAGTAAAGTAAAGTACCAACAGACCCCTTTCCACGCCTTTGGCGTAAAACGATATAGGGCAAGACCTAATTTCATATAGACCAAGCACAAGATCTGTAGATGTGGATGGCATCACGCCAGCTACTCTACATGATCTGTAGTAGATGGACAAAATGCTACTCAAGGCTGGGTCGACCTGAGAGCCAGGCTTCACACTTGAAGAAAAGTCAGTCTCCGCCAGGGAGCGAACCCTACGACCTTCCGATCCCGCTGCTTAAGTCTAGTCCGCTCTGCCTTTTGACTCCTTTTTTTGCTTAGTGTTTTCACATAATTTGTTGTTTCGCATGTTTTCCTGATGCTTGTCTCAAAATTCCCCCCCCCCCCTTTTGGACTGCAGACTTTAAGATTAATGAGAATCAAACAGGTGACATTATCAAATGCTAACCCATGTAGAATTTACACCTGTGAAATGAGATGCCTGGGAAAAGCTGCCAATTTTACCATCCGAGACAAAGTTGAAAATAATATTATCAGACAGACTGTAGGAACAACACCATGCAGCAAATTCACTGAGAAACAGAAAATCAAATGGTTTGGTTCATCTAGTAAGAATACAGCCAGAACAACTACCAATGCAGGCGCTACATGTGAAAAGATCTGAAGTAAAAGCAAGAGGCCACCCTAGGAGAATATGGACTGATGACATTAGAGAGCTTCTAAATCGACAAGGAGTGACAATAGCCATTGCTGCCCATCATGGAAAGGATAGCAAACTGTTCCTCCCCCACAATGTTTAGCGCCAGAAGTGGAAACATGATGATGAAAGAAGTTAAAAAATCCCATTCAACAAAAAGTGGGGTAACCATCATGTTTCTGACATCATCATGATTAAGTGCCTTTTCGACTGGTGTGGGTGATCATACCTCTCCAAAATCTGTAATCTTCAACAGCATGAATCCATTCCTGTGTTGACACTCTTCTATTCCACGACAAAAGGCCGTCAAGAATCGTCTTGCATTGTCTTCCTCTGTCCCTTTTTCTAAACATCTTTCCACTAATCACAACATGCTCCAGTTTCCTCCTTATATGTTGACTGTCTCTTTCTGATGTTTGCGATGAGTTGTCTTCAAGCCCTCACCTCTTTCAAAACATACACGTTGCTCTTTTTGGGTGCCCAAGGAATGTTTCCGATATGTGAATTAAAATCTGCGTAACTGTCAATTCCCCAAAATAATTTTTCTTCTTTGCCTATAAAATTCTCAACTAACTATATCTACACTGCACCCATATAGAGCAAAATGATAATTTTTCAGTTTTTAAACAGATTAAAGCTCTTACAGATCTCTGACGGATATATATATATATATATATATATATATATATATATATATATATATATATATATATATATATATATAATAAAAGGGGTCGTGACCCACATGTTGAGAACCGCTGCCCTAACCCAAGCAAACACAATTCAACAAGTCATTCACCATCAACAACAAAGTATATACTCAAAGATCATAATAGAAAAATCGCTTCCCACTCCAGTGCCCCATGAAAAGCTAATGTGACAATAATTGTCTAAGCAGAATTTCTTCTTCATGTTTGCCAGCTGTAAAACTCTTGACGGCAAATTTTGGCTGTTCATCTACCTGCGGACTTTAGTCTTCTTCCAAAACCTAAGTGCTGCATTGCACATTCATTTTATAGATCTTACGTTACTTGTATGCAGATTGTTGGTTTCTTGCAGAGGCAGATGCACTCTGACTTTAAAGGAATCCATCAATTAGTTGACTTTTACGACATGCCTGTTGGGGATGCAGTCTACTGATGTTCTCCCCACACATGGAGTCTAAGCAGTATTACTAACCACAAAAGAAAGATTGCCACAATCAAGTAATTACAAGAGAAAGATTGCCAAAATCAAGTAATCACAAGAGAAAGATTGCAACAATCAAGTAATTACAAGAGAAAGATTGCAACAATCAAGTAATAACAAGACTCCACAAATATGAAGCAAAAGTGACAATAATGTTTTCAGCATTACAAGTACTCAAAATAGAAAGTCAGACAAATGTGAAGCAGAAGTATCATTAGTTTTCTAATGACAAGAAATAAGACTGAAACAAGTGTAAAGCCAATAATAATTTTCTATGCAGTAGAAGAAAGAGTGCCATAAATGTGAAGCAAAAGTGACAACAATTTTCTAAGCAGCACTGTTACAAAAAAGAGATTTGCCACAAATGTGAAGCAAAAGTGACAACATTTTTCTAAGCAGTACTGTTACAAAAAAAAAAGGAGATTTGCCACAAAAGTGAAGCAAAAGCTCTGTACTAAATCATGTTATTATTAAGTGGGGACCCATCCTTTACAGCAAATATTTTTTCCAAGAGACTGAAAGACTGATTAAGAATTATGATCACAGCACCCCACACACATAAATTATCATGTCTCCTACAGCAAATTTACTGTGTACGCACTGACCATCCAACTAGCACACCGGTAATAAACATGCTGTATTCTTCCTCTCATGCATCCTCACCTTGCCAAACTCTATATTCATGTATCCTTAAATATGCTGTTTCATCTAGCATTTATTCTCATGTAGTCTTTCATACAACTGTTCCTACCACCGACATTTTTTAAAAACTAATTCATCTTATCCTTCTTCTTCAGCATTCCAAGCCCTTGAGGTTCAATGCCGCAGATATCTCTGTGGGTGGTCTCTTTCCAGCTGGTGACACCAAGTGTTTGTAGGTCTGTCTAGACATTATCTCTCCATCACCTTCTTGGTCTGACCATTCAACTCACTTGTGTATCTTTACCTCTCTTCCATCTGACATTCTCCCCAAAAGTTCCAGCCATTTCAGTCTATTAGCCCTCATGATGCCAGTGAGCAATGGTGATTTAAATAAAATATAAACTTTGTTGTTGCTTTTCACTCTCCATTCTCCACTGTGATGTCCAACAATTTGTCTAATTCATCATCTGAGAAAATTCACTTGTAGTCCTATTTAAGAACAGATGAACTCAACATTCTTTTATTGTTTAACTGTATCACTTCCACAGTGGACACTGGCTGCAATGTATCTACTGTCAACACAGAGAATAGTATGTGGTGAGGCCCCAATCTATGGTAGCATGCCATTCTGGTACCACTGTGTGAAAGTCACTGAAACATCTTTCCACAACCTTTATGCATATTGTTTTAAATCTAACTTCATCCCTGTGTGTGTTCCAGGGCATTATTATAGGGAAAAACAAGAATAGACCCACCGCCTATTTGAAAACATGTCATAAGAGTTGACTAATTGGAAGAGTCCTTGGAAGTAAGAATGCATGTGCCTGAGAGGCAAAGAACCAACAATTCTGGCTGTTTGTCCATTTCTGGACTGTAGTCCTTTTCCAGAACTGGAGTTTTGCATGCACATCCTTTTTTCAGATCTGGCTTATTTGTATGCAGACTGCTCTCTGACTTTCAAGGAAACTCCTCTAATTAGTTGCCTTGTACGTCATGATTGTTAGGGAGGCAGCGGACTACATCCCCCCACCCCCAATATGGCCCCGGAACCTACACAGGAAGATGAGAAATTAGAATATAACATTAAAACTGAGTTAAGAACAAGATTTCACTGAATGTTAGAAATAAAAGCACACAGTCATAAGCAGATATAGAGGAACTGTTAGGACAGCTGCGATGAATTATATTCTGTGAGTTCTGATGAAAGGGGAGGTTAGATGCTGACCTGTGAACGGGACTCGAGCCGCCACATAAGGATCTTGCATGAGCGTATACAGTCCTTGTGTGATTGCATTTGGCCCTGTCATCACTGAAGGAGAAGCAATATAACAACTAATCATTCACAAGTGCCCTGCTGTGCCATTAGGCCACATAGAGCTCGCAGTTTATTCCTCCATTTCATTCTATCCTGTGCAATCCTTTCGACATCATGGATGGAATTCAGTTCAGCACCTTTGGCCTCTCTATCAATGTTTGTTTTAGGGTTTCTTTGCTTCCTCAGTCCCTATATTTCCCATTTTAGTGCCTGTTTGGTGCTTCTATGCTCGTTTCTTCTCGGGATGTGTTAAATACAGCACCACCATCTTATATAACAACCTAGCACAGACTTGATAGCCAAGCATCACACAAGTGTTTCCATAAGGTGGTCCTCAGAATAAAAAGGTGTCAGTGATATTATTTACAATCACACACACACACAAACACTTAGAACCCCTAATAACAGACAAACTGCTGAAGAACTTATTTTAATTTATAATTAGAATCACACTAAAAAGGAGTGTTGTAAGTTAGATTTAAAGAAAAGAAGGAATGTGTAATACCTGTTTGCAGTCTGACTTACTTAACCTAATATAAATAAAGATAAAAGGTCCAGATCACACTACACAGAGTCGACTTCTGCAAAGGTTAGAGGGGTGTCGCCGTGGCTGTGTCCGATGAGCGTAATTTTATGACACACATCTACAACTTCAGGACATCGAGAACTTACTCTCCTGTGACGCGACCTTGATACTACAGCAAGTTAACGATTTTAACAACCCCATGAAATCTGCAACTGGGCCTAACCCAAACCCTAGTCACGACTGAACCAAGGTCCCACAAGACAGTGCATTCTGTGTCGCAGCAGACACGGAACTCTACACTCTGCAATAAACTCATCGCCAAAGCAAAATCCTACATGGCTGTCATGTACCCACCAACAATCACTAATACTATATACTAAGTCGCTCATAAAAGCCACTATGTACCTGTCCGCACGCTAACATGTACACAAGAGAGACAGCTGACACCCTTGCACGTGACCCTGTGACAGCTTAAGGCGGAGCCTGACCGTCCAATCAGTGTCCTGTCCTGCCTCCGTTATTCATAAGTGTGTAGCCAGGGCTCAAAATTGTAAGTAGTTCCAGGCAAAATTACAAGCCAGTCAGTGTATGCTATGCGCTGGTCAGCCTCTGCACATGATTCTAAAAAAAAAAACATGAGACAAGAAACAAGTGATGATAAAAGTCTTACCTAATGGCTGTTGTCCAGGGAGTGTGTAAGGCTGTTGTGGGGTCAGCATGGCAACTTGCTGCTGCTGTTGCTGCAACAGCTGGGGAGGTATAAGAACATGCATTATGAACTGTACATTAAAACACCTTCATTTCCTGTGTTACTGCTTTGGATTTCAAAACAGCTACAAGGTTTCTGCTCTCCTGCCCGCCTCGACACTACAGACACTTCATACTGTTGTCGAGTTTCTTTCGTGTGATCTTTCCATCTCGTTCTTAGTCTATTTCGAATCACTGTTGCTCTTTTCTTTTTGTATGTATCTTGTTTGATGTGACATCGCACAGTATTCCCTCTGGATGGACAAACCTTGATTTTTTTTGGGCAGTCTTTGCATGTAATTTCGTATTGGTTCTGTGCCAGTTTATTCTCTCATGATTTCATTCCTGATTTTTTTTTTCTGGTCACTCCCGCAGCCCCTCTCAGACATCTCATTTCCATGGCTACAAATCTGTGAATGTCTATGTCTGACACTGATGGCACAAGGTGGGGATGAATACGTAAGTAAAAGTAAAGGTCCCGTTTTCACTCCTTCAGGCACACTAGGCATATAGGGCTAGACCTATATTTTATAGACCAATCGGCACTGGTGAGTGGTATGGTAACCATTACAAAGGCCGCCTTTACTTCCCAGGACTATATCCTGTACCCACTCAAGACAGTCGACCTGGTAGCCAGGGATGAATATGTTTTGTATGATGTTCATTTAAATCAGAGGCAATCAATTAAACCCGTGTGACAGCCTAACTTTAACCCTTAAATATATTAAGGGAGTAATCAATAAACATGAACTGAGTAAAACATTAAATTCCCAAAGTCGGACAAATGTACTGGGTCAATCAATCCGTGACTTCGGAGTTCTAACATTAGGGCTATGGGCAAATTATACCATAACAGTGGCTTTAAATTAACCATTTTGTTCACCCCCCTCCTTTTTTTTTTTACCTTTTTTTTCGGTACTGGTGGTATTTTAAGTAAAGATATTTATATTCTGATATCCTAACACAACCAATGGCATTAACTAGGTGTCTCAAAAACACACCAATGTAGAAATACCGGGTAAGCGGCTTTTACAGGATTCAGCCACTGCTGGACATGCCAGAGTCACAGATTCCTGTGGCCAAACGGATAAAGACACAAATGCCTACCTGATTGTAGTCCATGCTGTAGCTATTGGGGCTCTCAACACCATGAATCATCTGCCTGCCATAATCGCCACCGTACTGCAGGGGGTCCATACCAAACTGCTGATACTGCTGCTGCTGCTGATGGGAGTCTAGATGGTATGCTACAGGGTGCTGTCCATTGTTTAAGAAGTCTCCAGCATCCCGCAACTGGTGCTTCTGATGCTCCATGGACATCCCAAAGTGACCATGTCTCTCCTCGTCTGCAGGGGATGTAAGTTTGCTCCCTCTAGTGTGGTGAAGGAAAAAAAAAAAAAACATGAGGTATAAATAAACTTGACTATAAATGCTGGTTTACTTATCCTAAAGGTTCCGGGAACATTCAGATATTGAAAGGAAGACATTCAAACCAGTCACTCTTCATTTCAACAGCTCTGACCACAGAGGCAACTGTCACCACCATAAAATCTTGCTCGGGCGGTCACACTACGCGTTTCTCTTTTGAAAATCACCTCATCCACGGTCTAGGTATTCTAAGCCCAGCATATTAATGATCAGCACACCTTCATCTAAACAGTTTTACTATTCTTAATTTTTACTTTTATTTTATTATTCTATCTGTTATTGTTATACCATTTATAGATCATGAATATTTTTATTCCTACTACTAATATATATTATCACTATTATGGATAAGACAAGACTCCCCTATCAAACCCTCGTGTGGACACCAGAAGGGAAAAGAAAACGGAGAAGACCAAGAGAGACTCTGCATAGAACCATCATCAGGGTAGGCTCAAACATGGGCTTAACAAACATTCAAGACCTAAAGCAGGTGGCAACGAATCGCCAAACATGGGGAACTGTGACCTTCGCCCAATGTGCCACCCTAGGCTTAAAAAGAAAAAGTAACTAACTATTAATTTTATGACTATTTTCAAGCCTTAATTCATCTTATTTTATTTACTATACTCATTCCACCTCATCTTTTTCTCTTTCTATTTTTTAAATAGGTATTCATGTGACCCCCATGATGGGTACTTTCCCCCTTTGTCATCGTTGTGTAGCTCCATGTCGAAAAAGGTTCTGGCAGAATGGTCAAATTGTCTTGTGATTACATTGTTCCCCTTCCCTTTTTTGTTAAGCTTTTCAGTCACAGTTTACTGGATTATTCTAAACAGTGTTCTCGTGGCTTATGAACCATATCGCAAGATATGCACCATGGAAGAGATCAAAGCTTCATATGAGCTGTCATGCATGTTCTCTGCAGTAGCTGTGCAATGGGACATAATCTTATCAGTTTCCTGGCGTAACTCATAGTTTTGTTCTAAGGTTCTGCACTGCTTTTGCTCTTAAGGACTAAGACAACTGACTTCTTATCTGTGAAGATAACAATGCTTCATTATACTAGTCACTGAAGATAAAGCAGTTTCTTTCAAAAACAATTTGTATTTACCTGTATCCACCATCATCCAAAACATTTGCCATCAGTCCATTTGTCTGAATGTTTTTCCCATCGTCCCCTGCTCCATCTTCAAATGGGGGTGTTTTATTTGTCTTGTCTTCGCCCATGTTGCCATCTTGTTGCGACATCTGATGGGAGGAATAATGAGCCTTAGAGATACAAAAACAAAATAGTTATTTAAATTTCAAGGCAGACTTTTAAATAAATTCATAAACCTCTTCTTCTTTTGTTCCTCGGCTACACCCTCAACAGAGAGTTCTGGTTGTTCATCCACTTCTGGAATTGCTCCAGAACCTGAGTTTAGGCGGACTGTTGGTTCCTCGCCTCCCAGGCAGATGCACTCCGACTATGTAGGAAACATCCCAAATTAGTCAATTTAATGACGTTCTTGTTAGGGGCAGGGGAGTCTATACTTTCCCCTCCCCTCACAATGGGGTCCCACTAAGATTAAATCTAAACAAAGACACAAAAACAGACTGCATAATTCTGTAGTGTACATCTGAAGAAAGGAGTCCTAGCGGCTAGGCCGTGGTTTTGCTACCTGACGGTGCTTGAATTTGTTTTAAATTACCTTAACTCATAGGTCAACCCAGCCTTGAGTGGGTCTATAAAAATACAGGTCTAGCATATATGCCTAAGGGCGTGGAAAAGGGACCTTTACTGTTACTTGATACATCTGAAGGGATAAAGCAAAACAAGCTTGGCAACAAACTGCAATCTATTGGGACTTCAGTGTTCAGATTTAGAAATGGCCAGGCAAGCTGGTGAATTTACTTACATAAGTCTTCATTCTGTCCAGCGCTGTTTGCTCTACTTTGTTGGGAGATCCACCCAAAACATACTCCACCATGTTAAGCCCAATCTGGTTGGAAGTTTCTGATAAAAAATATGAATGACATTATGACATCAAGAGACTGTTCTGGGCACGTGCAATATAAAGGTTTTTATCAATACTAGTTACAAATAGCCAGAAGCATACCTTTTTTCTGGCACTATGGCAGTTCTGGCACCTGTTTTTTTCAGCGCTACTCTTATAGATACTTTGCAATCGCTTTTTGTGTGTGTACTGTGGTGAGTATGTGCATATTTTTTTTAAGACGTCAGGGTGAGTCTGCACCTTTCCAGACAAAGTTTGAGCATCTGCACATTGTTTTTTTTTGGTAGGCAAAAAAGCTGTGTCCAGAGTTTCTTCAACTATTTCAGCCCTAGAACATCCTGCAGCAGACAGACTACCAGAGGTGACAATGGCCACAATGATAATATATCAGTGCATTACATTCAAAAATCACTAAAATGTACACTGTGTTACACGTTGAAACTACTAAGGTTTCTGTAATATACACAGGATATCACAATGCTTGTCACTTGCTGTCAGCATTGACATCCCAACACAACAGTCCAACCCATTTGTGCTGTCTTCTGACGCAGCAACCATCCCAGTGTCTCCATGCTCACAATAGCCAATAGAAGTTGACTAGCATATATTCTTTCTTTACTCCACAACCAGTTTTTGCATGCTTGCCCTCCTTTAAAACCTATTTCAAGCAGGCTTCTTTGTCTCAACGTGTCTGCGATGCAGCACATTAACGATGTCTGCCCTACACTTCTTGGCAGCTTACTCGCTCAGAAAGTTAACACTGATCTAGAGATCAATACAAGGATATCCAAAGCAGCTCACTTGGTAGACTTCGTACAAAAGTCTGGAACAGAGCTGGCATCAGCCTGCAGACAAAGCTCAAAGTGTACAAAGCTGTCGTAATTCCTGTACTCCTTATTGCTTGGTAAACATGGACCGTTTACCAGCGCCATGCTAAGAAGCTGAACTATTTTCATACATTATGCCTCAGAAAGTTGCTGAACATAAAATGGCAAGACAAGATTCCTGGCACTGGAGTACTTGACAGAGCCAGACTGTCCGTAATTTACTTGCTTCTAAAACAATCACAACTTCGCTAGGCAGATCATATAGTCTGCTTGCCTGACCACCGACTGTCAAAAATAAATTTCTATGATGAGTTACTAAAAGAAAAACCCTCAAAAGATGGACAAAAGAAATGTTTCAAGGACAACCTCAAGACCTCACTGAAAGACTTCTGTATTGATCCTAAAACCTGGGAAGTTGCTGCATGTGACCGCTCATCCTGGCGCTCCTCTCTTCATCGAGGAGCTGTGGCTGAAGCAGCAAATTAAAAAAGACAAGCCAGGAAAGACACTGAATCAAATCCCCAGAGAGATGCGACCTCAGTTCTCTGTCCACACTGCTCAAGAACTTTCAGTGCTAGAATTGGCCTTATCGGCCATCTGCACACTCACAAAACCTAATCCGGTCAACACTGGATGAAAGGACTGGTCATCATCACCTGTAACTGATGAAAACAACTGGCAGTATAAGAGCAGGAGTCAAACACACAACTGCTAACATAAACAGCTGGGAGAACTCTCAAAAAGGCATCAACATGATGATGATGGATGAATATATACTCGTCATGCCATCCGATCAAAGAGCATACAGTTTGTGAAGTTTGTGAAAATTCAACAATGTTCCATTGACCAAAATGAGCTGCTTGTGGTGGGGTACAGAGCATAGCTTTGCTGTTTACCTCACACCCACAAAAACATGCAGTAGGATAGGGTAGTTAATTAAGACGGTTGTCCCTGAATTTATAATGCTCAACCACAGGTTGCTAATTCTGCTCATGTGACAATTCTCAACATGAATAAATGCAACAACAATCTGCAAATCACAAGCAACCCGAGACTCTACCAAATAAACCTGTCAGATTGCCCAACATCCTTTCTTGTGGTCTCCCCTGCTTCCCTTTCCCACCAACTATCCTACTGTGACAATGTACTCTAATTTTCCTTTTCTCAAAGAATACAGACTGAACACTTCTGGAATTGGTAAAAGAGAAAATTTAAAAAAAAAAATTATGTGTTAATTTCTTTCAAGATATCCTCATTACATTATTTATCCTACTGTACAATGTACTGTAACTTTCCCATTTCATGCCCAAAGAATTTAGACTGCCCTTTTCCAAGGTTAAATAAAACAATCTGTGCTGAGTTAATTTCTGTCATCTAATGACTAATGAGCAAAAGAAAAACTGCCTACCTGATGCACCAGTGGTCCAGGCATCATCTCTTGTGGTCCAGCCATGGTGAAACATGACCCCAGACCGGTCATCACCAGCTCTGTGCAGATCATCATCCCACAATTTTTTGGCTTGCTGTCCCACCTGCAAACATTGTTTACCGAATATAACATGGGAACAGAATAACAGAGGTAAGACAGCTTACACACAAAGACCTCACAGGATATGAAACTAAGCAGGTTTTTTTTTTTAATTACGTAGACATGTAAACAGATGGTAAACATAACACGTAAGACTGCCATATGTTGAAATAAATGCAGACAGAACAATTGTTCAACGTGAGAAACACCCACATAAAATTATGTTAGGTTCTCACAGAATCTTTAATTTATTAGCTAGTCCTTATATGTCCTTGTGGACTGTGCAGACCCAGTTTATTTCATCTTCTTCTTTGCGTTCACCAGCTGTAAACTCTGGTGAAAAAAAGTTCTGGTTGTTCGTCCACTTCAGAACCTCAGTGTTACGTGTGCATCCGTTTGAAAGATCTGACACATTTGTGTGCAGACTGTTGGTTCCTTGCCTCACAGGCAGATGCAATCCGACTTCGAAGGAAGCACCCATTTAGTCAACTCCCAACTGCTTTTGGGTGAGTGGGTCTATTCTGTTTTCTTCGCCCCGAACCCACACAGGGGGGTTCATTTCATGGCCAGGATTTTTTTTTTACATATGGTAGAAATGTTACAAGTAGAACATCAGATTTCTTCACTTTAGTCTCTGTCTGTTGTGTGGTATTTTTTTTTAGCTAAAATAGGTATATATGTTATGACCATTTTCTGCAGAAGTTTACCACATTTCACCCGTAGAAATGGGCATCAAAGGCACAGGTTAAAAATGCTTGTCTCCCAACTCTGATCTTCTTCTTCTTCTTCGCGTTCACCATTAAAACTCTAGAGGAAAGTTCTACACTTTAGTCTTGTTCAAGAGTAATTTTTTCTTTAATGCAGACTACTGGTTCCTCGCCTCTCAGGCAGACAGATGCACTCGACTTTGGGGGAAACAACCCTAATTAGCCAACCTTTACAATATGATATGCTTGTTGTGGGAGGTGTGGGGCCATTGAATTTTTCTCCTACAATAGGGCACGAAAACATACATGAGGAAAATGTGATCTGAAGTCCACTTGTCACAATTTTTATTTAGATCGGAATTTGAAAATGTGTTGATAATAAATATGTCACTCTCTGAATCATTGACAACAAATAAAAAGATAATATAAATGCTTTATAACTGCCCTCATTCATCAAGTTAACAACATAAAGTGTAAAATTCTTGCAGCAGTTATCAGTTTTCATTTCTCCCTTCTCCTTTCCTCATCTATTCCATATCTGTGAGCTCTTAGATGGAAAAGTCTGGGAGCATAAGGTTTCTTCTTTTTTTCTGCGTTCAGTTTTATATGTTCAGGTTACATTGTCAGGTGGGCTGCCTCTAGGAACTTGCATGTCAGCTGTAGATCCTTCATGGTTCCCCACAGATTGCTTTGCACACTTCACTCGAGGCCAGGTTTTTTTTCCTAGCTGTAGGTAGAGTTTGCAAGCCTGCAAAATGTGCTCAGGTGTTTGTAGTCCCGTCTGATATGCACTCTGTGGGAACTGTACAGTCTTTATTTTATGCATAAGGTAGTTGAGCCTGCCGTGTCCTGTTCTTAAGATGGAAAAATGTATATGGCAAAAGGTTTGATCTAATATATAGAGCTTTGCTTAATCATTTTCATCCACCTCTTTAACACCTATAAATGTTCATTACAGGGTTTCTAATACTGCCTATCTTCATTCATTACAGGCGGTTATTTTGTTTTTATACATGCCAACACCTGAGCTCCATCCAGCTAGAATCAATCAAGTTCATGATCATATCTGCTCTTCCAGAAGATTCTAGAACATTCCTGACTTGTTTACAGTTCTTTTTTCCTAGCATTCACTGGCTGTTAACCCCTGCAGAAAGTTCTGCTTATCTCGCAAATCTTCCTTCTTCTTCTTCACACTCACTGCTGCAAACACCAGAGGAAAGTTCTAGTTGCTCGTCTCTTTCTAGATTTAAGTCTCATTCCAGAACTTAAATTTGATCAATTAATCTAGCGACACCACTGCAGTCAGGAGATCACTACATGTGCTCCGTCCTTTTCTTCAGTACCCAGCAAAGAGTCGTCAGTCTAAGAGTACCAGCTGCAACCTGATTGAAAGTCCCCCCTTAAGACTGAACACATTCTATAGCCTCTACACACTCCTCGTTGAATTCATTTTCCAATTATCTATTTAAATTGTATGCAGACTACTGGTTCCTTGCCTCTCAGGCACACACACGTACTACGTCATCGAAAGAAACACTTCCTAATTAGTCGGCTTTTACGGCTGTTCTTATTTCCCTTACAATGGTACCCCGAAAAATCCCCCGAAGAGGGATTGTACAGTTTAAACAGACATTCATAAAAAGTCATTCTTTGACAGTCACATGTTTACTTACTTCTGGCCTGGCTGAACCTTGTGCTACTGTTAATCCATGAAAGTGTCTCTCTAACTCTTGGACAGTGGTCACCTGCCGACTCTGTTTAAAAACAAAAAGATTCAGTTTATGTTAATACAGTGAAAAAAGTCTCCCACTTCTTCTGTCTTCTACCCCCAAATGGGGCATAGTCCCTCAACCAACTCATGCCGTTTTATCCTTTGCTATTCCCAAGTACTCATCTTTTTAACGTCACTATCTAGCTCCCTTCTCCCTGTATTTTTGGTCTTTCTTTATTTCTATGAACCTATGGGTTCCAGTGCAAAGACATTCCGGTTGTAATGATCTCCTGTTTTCTCAAAGTGTGTCCTATCCAAAGCCAGTATCCTTTCTTTACCTCTTGGCTCACTGAAAATTGTTTAGTCCTTTCCCAAAGCTGTACAATAGTGATTCTATCATATCATTTAATTCCCTCTATTCTGCACAGGCACAAGTTAGTTAATGTTTGTAGTTTATTAGTAAATGACTTAGCTGTTTTCCATACAACAGTACCGATTTGACATTAAAAATGTTGAGTTAAGTATTAGTTTCCTACTTATAGGGACCTGTACAGCAACATGAAAAAAGTTTCACTGTACCCTATCTTCTTCTCTAGTCCTCTTCCGTCTTTCAGGGTCAAGTTTTAAAGAGACATCGGGTGCGGGCCCTGGTATGTACTATGTAGATGTTGGTATTTAGGGCCTCTGATATTCCATTTAATCATCGCTTACAAGCTTCTACTGTGTCGAAGTGACAGGCATCTCTGTGGTGCTGTATCTGGTAGTAATGACCTATCATGGGAGTAGTGTCACTGTGACCTCCTCGTGTGAGTTCTTTTTCCCAATTAATTATTACTTGATGAGTGTTTATCACCAGCATCCATCATCCATGAGAAATATAGGCATGGCATCCGGATTGTTTATATTAATTTTAGCACAGTAATTTGTCACACGTTTGAAGGAAAGCTCAATTCCACTTAGTGCAATTTAATTGGCATAAAAAATGTATAAATTATTGAATAAGATGCAGAAATAACAACTGAAAAATATTAAAAATATTATTATTTTGTAAAAAAATAATCATCAAAGATGTCTTACTTTTATACCAACATAACCTACAGTCAACCACACTATAATGCTCCTCAATTTTTTCTGTCTTTTATGGTTATCAAATTTGTTCCCAGTGGTATTATTTGCACAGTACCTGTTTTCAACAACAGTAACATCATAAAAATGTAGCAAATCCATTGCAGTATGAGTATTGTGTGCCTGACAGTTTGTCCTTTGTCAATTTCACTGCCTCCTGTATTTCCTTTCCCAAGATGTCTCTAAAGCCATGTGTTCACCTTCATGCTAGTCGACCTTGCCTGTTATTTATAAACCTTCTTTTTTTTTTACAATTGCCCAAGTGAGGTGGCCACATTGTATTGCGGTTTACAGCTAAGCTGCAACATCTGTATCTTTTATCCTAAAACATCAGATTTCAGCAAAACCTTAAGTAGTTGCCATTTATGACATGCAGCAGGTCTATTCTTTATCCTCCCTAAAATGAGGTCGCATACACAACTGTTTTACAGATGTCTTAACTTGTAAGAACACTGTTGGTTTTATGTCGTTTGGGCACATGCACTCTGACTCAGAAGGGAAACCCTTAATTAGTTGTCTCCTATGACATGCTTTTTAGGGGGGGGGGGGGGGGGGGGGAGCAGTAAGTTTATCCTTTGTTCTGCAAAACAGAACCCTTTAACCCATAAAGAGAATAAATAATAATGTAAAAAAAAAAATGGACGCAATTGCATGAGGAATTAACTCATATCTAATGTTCATTTTGACGTCTATGATTATAATGTCTTTCATCTGTGATGTACAAAACAGGCATGGCAGAAGTCTCTGAAAAACACCTTATTACTGTCATTACACACAAAATAATGATCCCCTTTGAAATCATCATCATGTGATGTGCTGAACAAACTCCCTGTGTTGGTTCCAGGGCCCTTTCTGAATTTTAGGGGGTAAATAACACTGTTATAACAGACCACATTTCCACCCCCCATCGCCATAAAAAGTGACTAATTTTGATAATTCAAATATGGTGGGCCAAAAGTGCCTACATACTACAACATACCATCCAACCACCTTGCTGAGGGCTAACACAGAAGAGGAAGCAGAAACAATAAGAAATTAAAAACATGCCTGATATGGTTTACAGTTACAGTATTACTATTACACAATGGATCAACATCATGGCACAAGGGTAGTAACCCATATGTGCTCCATTCTACTTCTAACTTTAGCCTGAAGAATCTATGTGCAGTGACAGTGCACGAACTCTGTAGCACCATCCAGGATCCTAATACGAGGATCCCTTTTAATTTATAATATATTGCTGGTTGGCCCATCCACACATTTGGTATATGAATGATGTACTGCTCTGATGATCAACATCAGCCAGACATAACTGTTTAGCTAATGAAATTGGAGACCACTGTCTTCACATGCATGCTTGGCTGGTCAAGCTGTTAAAGCTGACTTGGTTTCTTTTTCTACATTGGATACTGAGATACTTTACTGAACACTGACATTCAAGAATATTGCAATTTAGCAATTATCTACTAAGTATATTTTTATTTTCCTCATTCTCACTGTTTTTTTTCATGAATGAACTGTCAGCTTGCCAGAGACATATGAGCTTAAATGACATTCTGAATATCATTTAGAAATATTAATTAATCAAAATTGAATAAATAATAGTTAATATTGACTGAGAAGAAGAAGAAGAAAACATGATAGATACACTGATACAATTTTAGAAGAACACAGTGTAAGTGTAGCCTGAACTCCCAGAAGAGTCGTCTGTTGTCAGTCAGTGCCGGTACCTCGGGCGACAGCGGAAAGTTGCAAAATTATACAAAATATATTGATGACTGATATAAAATATATAAAAACCATAGAGTGACAGACGTACCTGCTCTAGAATGATGTCGTCCCCGCCTGCCCACCGTTTATTATTATTAAAACCACCTCCTATGAGAGCATCACTGTGACTTCTTTGGTACAAATATCCAACATTGGCATCATCTTGCGACCGAGCGCCTTGGTTTTGTCTAATTCCTGACATATCGCGCTGATTCTCCAAAGCCTGGCTGCCCTCCCAAGAAGATTGATTCATTGTTGGCACCGGCATCTAAAAACAGTCTCCGTGAATTACCAAAGACGCAGTGACAAAGACGCAGAAATCACTTCACTTCGCAAAATGTTTCGGCATGCATTTCATTGCCTGGTTAAGAAACGAATATAAACGTTTATCAGTAAAAATTATCTCCAAAAATGCAATTTAACGTTAGGATATTAATAAAATATTAGTTTATTCGTCACAAACTGATGATAATGTTCTGTTTTTCGCTCAGATTATCTTGGATTGTCCAGCTCACAAGATTGTTTACAAACATAAGACGGATACTGCCATTTTGAATTCGCTTGGCCTTGTGGGAAAGATATATGTTATCGTCCCGAACATATCTAAACTTGACTTGTAACAAATCTACGTAAACTCGACTTATTTACCGACGTATATCTTATAATGCCAGAAAGAAGTGTATGGGCATTGGTTTGTCTTTTTATGCAAGAACAACAATATATAATGTACTTCTCAAGGGAGAAGAAAAAAACACTAAAAGTAAAGTGGAATGAAAACATGGATCTTATCAAAGTCTATATCGTGTGGTGTTTCTGCACAAACCTCTAGATTTGATTTGATTCAAAAACCGACAGCACAGCACTCAGGGCATTCGCATAACGCTCCGTCCCCATCTTTAGCAGCCAGCACAAACCTCTAAAGTCTAGAAAAAGACAATATCGAGTGTGAGAAATACATTGGGTAACCAAGCTTGTCGTAAAAGGACATTCTTCATCTGCCTTCTATAACCCAGTGGAACATAGGCCCGCAACCAAGTCGTTCTATCCTTCACCAACACTAGCGTCTTTTCTTCACCTTTTATCCACTAGAACTTGTTAAGTTTTCTCCTAAAACTCAACAGTGGTGATTCTAACGTACAGTTTAATTACCTCTAATATGCACGTACACTAGTTAATCAATAGAATATTTGTAGTTTGTTAGTGCAGTATTGCCTAGTTGTTCTCTGTGTTTCTGCTTCATACAGTATGACTGCTTCGACATTCTTGTGAAACCTAGTCATCTCCTTGTGAGATGCAATTTTTCGTTATTTGAAGCCCCACCCTGGCTCTTGCCAGGGGCCGCAATATAGCCCGACCATAAATATAGCCTAATGGCTAAACGCGGTTTCTGGGATCTCTCCGCTGTGATCCTCATCCACATGGTGGCTCTTTGTGTCATCGGGTGATGTCCTAGTGGGGTAAAAATCTACCACTACTACGACTGCTTCGACACTAGAATTAAAAATTATGGCAGTGTTCCTAGTGCTGTGAAGTCGATTCTTAACTCAACATTTAGAATTAAAAATGTTAAGTTTAGTTTCAGTTTTGATTTCTTGTGACCTCCATAAATTTCCTAGGGTTAAGAAAGCTCCTCTTGCCTTTTGTATTCGTATTTTAATATCTATATTCCCCGTGTGGGTTCCGGGACCCCAGTATGGGACAGGGGAAAAGAATCGACCCACTCTATTAGCATGTCGCAGGCGTCGACTAATTGGGATTTCCGATACCGATTAAGAAAAAAAATGAAAAGGTCAACCACTTTCAGACTGCTTCTAGCCAGCCGAGGCTGCTAACAGTCTCCGCCTATATTTGTGGTCTGGGTTATTTGCGTCACTTTCCTGACTAATTTTCTAGTATTTGCTCCTTTTCTAGGCTTGATGCTTTCTCCCGATTCAGACCACTCGTCCTCTACCCTGTTGTTAGTTGTGCATGTCTTCCTTTTCTTACTTGGTGTTTCCTCTTTGTGTTGTCTCCCTCTGATTTAGCCTGGCGTATTTCGTAGGAGAGCGAGCTTTTCTACATAACGTCCTTTGGACCACCATTTACAGTTTTAAAATTGTGAGTATTTTATTTTGCCCAAAAGTACTGAAAACAGTTTTTGATTTAGGATAGTTCCGAAATTTGAAAATATTTCGCGTGTGACTATAGTGGTCCTATAGTTGTCTTTCTGCAGAAAGAACGGGTTAGTCATGTCGTGGGTATATGTGTGAAATGTTGTGTTGAGCCTCAAAGCGGGTCTAATCGTCATTTGTTAGTGTGTGATCCGGCTGTGTCAGTTTGGTTTGGCAGCTAGGCTCCGATGTACGTAAATACCATATACCCGGAGGACCCAGCTCACGCTTTGAAATCCAAATGTTCGGCGATGAGAATTACTGTGGCATGTTGGGTATCGAACTCAAGTGCTCTCTGTGAGAATGGGGTGTTGGGTTGAACTCATAGTGCATCAGAAAGAGGTAGGGAAGGGTGAGGAGAAAGGAGGCGGGAGGCCATTCAGTCATTTCTCGTCGTTGAAGTCTTGCTGGATTCTAGCGTGGCCTTTAGCCTGGATTATACGTATCACGTTAACAACCTTTGCTATCATCCCACTGATGGGTGGTTAAGGACAACAAATCTGTCAGTATGGGGAATTTTGTTGGAGGTTTATTTATTACCATCTCCAGTGCCTTTATTCTGCCGACTAGTTCTGCTGTGCATACTGCCACATAATCTGTTATTGTATATTTTCTTTGCATTCACACAGAGGCACTCCTGCTCCTACTTCTCCTGCTTCATTCTTAGACCCATCAGTGTATGCAACCAGGTTGTCTGATCGGATCTGGTCTATGAATTCTTCTGTTAATGTTTTGTCTTCAAACAGTTCAGTAGTTTTTATTAATACTTTTCATCAGACTCATGCCTGTCCTAGGCAGTTCTGGTCTCCATGGAGGGATTTGAGGGATAAATCTAACGCCCGCCTCTATAGTCCTAGCTAAGTCCTATTACGTTAATTTCTAGTGCAGCGTCCCAGCAACCAGGTTGCTGGTCTCAGTATATCTCTGATGGGTCTGTCACCTAGGTGGGTAATATTATGATGAAAAGCGTCTGAGGCTGGGTGTTTGGCATCGTTGACTGCTTTCATCCAACAGCTATAAGTTAGTTGCTTCCTTCTGAGGTTAAGCGGTGTGATGCCTAGTGCTACCTTCACAGCCTCTCTCGATGTCCCTTTGCCAGCGCCCATGATGGAAGTCAGAGCTTGGCACTGAATCCTATAAAGTTTGCATTTGCTGTTCTCTGTTGCTGATTCGTATACTACGCTTCCATATTCCATTTTGCTTGACGTAGTTGTCTGGTAAGCGCCGCTATCTTCTTTTGTTGTTTTCGCCATCTGTTGTACTGTGTATGCCAATGCTGTTCATGACCCACATATAATAGACCCATCTGTGTAAATGACGATGTCTTCTAGGTATGAATGCTGATCAGTCAGTGTCCTTATATCGTTGTCTATGGTGGCTGGTATCTGACTCATGCAGACCCTTCCCAGGGTTATGACAGCCTCAGACAAATCATGCATGTCTACTGGTGTACCCGTCCATTCTTTTCCGTGACTGATCTCGCCTAGGTCACATACTTGTTGGATCAGATTTTCTGTCTCGGCCATTTAGGAGGAGCCTCTTCAATTCCCAATTCCAATTCGTCCAACAAAAATTTCAAATTTGATCCTCTTTCAGCCGCCTGGAGGCCTGCTATATCGAGGAAGGTTCCTTTGCTGTCTTATATGATTTCCTTTTCTTTGTGGTGTGTAGTCACACCTGATATTCTAGTTCTTTGCTTCCTTGCTGTGCTGTGGTGATTGTGGTCTTTGGGTCTGGTGTGGTCCAGATCTCTTTGTGATGATATCTACGGGTACTAGCTGACTGTTGCTGGTGCTTGGCCTGCCTCGTGCTGGTCGCTGTGCTGGTGCCCTGTTGCTGCTTGGTTGCCGTTCTGTAAAGCCGCCGGGAAAAGCCAAACAAACACCGGGTCACAACGCCATAAACAATGTTCCTTTTCAGGACAACCAGGGCCGTCACAATCTGTTGTTGTGATCAGCCCGTTTTTTTTTTTCCCACGGAGTGTGGAGAAGTATTGGAAGTAAGATAGGCTGCAAATTTGCCAGGAGATGTGATAAGTTATAAGAGGAGCCTTATAAAGGAGGAGCCTCTTTTGAGACACACCCCTTTTATATCATTGATAGCGTTGTGCAGTGGGTGGTTGATGTCTGCTGATATTCTCATCAATCCTTTCGGAGTTTTCACCAGGGACCTAGATAAGTAAGTAGCCTTTATTTAGTGCATAATAGTCCAATGTAGTTGTTTCAAAGTTAGTGTATATTTTTGTATGTGTGATGTGTTGTCTTTCTGGTCTCAAGACTCAGTGAAGGGAAAACCCCAAATTGCACCTCCACTCGGTAGAGGGCGATAAACACACTGCGATGTGGCCAACGCAGCTATGGGGACCGAGTATCCGCCGGGATAAGTGGACACCTCTGTTAGCAGGAGCATCACAGAATAGGGCACTCACTTGCCCTAGCAATCGAAAAGGTTGCTGAAGGCCGAGGAGATGGTCTAAAGCCATGTGGATGTGGAAAGCAACGGGAAACTACCACATTACTATCCCAAGAAACTCATCATGGAAGCCAAAAATGAAACTCAAAGATCTGATGGTGAGGCTCCCAGGCCAGGCAGATCACAAACGCGAACTGGGGAAGAGAACGATGGCAGAGCAAGTAAGGGTAGTTGTTATGACGGCTTTAAGCCCGACGGTGCTACAACAGAAAACTCTGTCACTGCTCTAAGGAAAACTTTAAAGTTAGGATACGCAGAAAATATAATGAGAAATGTCAAAAATTACCAGACTTGTGACAGTTAAGATCCGCTCAAAATTGGTGGCAACCCTATTCCGGTACTCTGCTACGCAGATGACACAGTCTTCCCTTCGAACAGCGTAAAGGGAATAGAAAATTTAATATTGTCCGTCCAAAAGCACAGTGAAATCAAAATCTGTTCTTGAATTTAAAGAAAACGAAAATAATGTCCACAGATAAAACTGGCTGTCACCCAAAAATAACAATAAATGATGAAGCAATTGAAAATGTCACAAACTTTGAATATCTGGGCTCTATAATAAACAACAATGGAGACTGTTCGACAGAAATTAAAAGAAGGATGGCCATTGCAATGCAAAGATTTAACAGCCTTAAAAGTCTATGGT